GTGACACCTTAACACAGCCTGCAACACCTTGCTGAATTCTCTACTAATTGTTTCACCTGACCTCATAAACTGTCTTTTAATTATCCGATTTTTAATGTCATAAGCCAATATGTGAAGGAAGATTGCAACTTGCTCTTCTACCCCCATGTGCCTTGACGGTTGAAGCATCCCAACAGTTTTCAATAAGTCACACAAATTATGAAAGCATCTCATATCCATCCTTGTATTCTCAATACAAGCGGTGTCAGTAATATACATTATTCTATGCAGATTAATTTCCCTGGTAGAAACCCTACTGCAAAAATCCCACTTAACTTTCCTCCTTGATCTTTTCCTTCTTTCCATATCAGCTAATAAAAGACCATAACTTCTCACTAATAACATAGTGAGATGATTCAAAGATTGCAAATGACAAATGATAACAATAATGACACTCAACTCCATTGCTTTGGTCATTGCCTCAATCTAACACAACAATATTAAAGTAATTAACATTAATCCAACAATGATGAACGAAGAAAAAGTATAAGAACACAATGAATAATACAAGAATTAGAGGGCAAAAGGTTCTAAACCTCCTTAATTCACACGAGTGTAGGGTAGTATTAAACTCTAGGATGGTTAATAATGATACAGAAACTCCACCTAGATATCATCAATTTCAACAACTTCAACTTCAGGGTTCATTCAAACCATGGGCAGATTGGAGGCAACAAACAAATGCGTTCACACCTAAGGCAAATTTAAATCAGAGTCAACAAGTCTGATTATTTGGGAAATTAAATAGTTAGAAGTTTTTTTCAATACCATAATGTCTAACAATTTATGATATTTCCTCAACTGTCAATACTGGAGGGGTCTAAATTCACCACAACCCGTACACAATATTTCATCGAAATTTAATAAAAAAGGCTTTGATGTTCAACTGTAATCTTCTAATGCTGCTTTTAACATAACTGTCAAGATAGTGTCATGGTTGTGTTGTGCAGGGTCGAAGTCTATCCTTATCTGTGAAACACAGACACGTGTTTTTTTAGAAAAAATGCGTGTCCGACACGTGTCGGACACGGACACGTTCGGACACGCGTTCGACACGCGGTTGACTTTTTGGGACACGTTGACTAGTGGGACACGCGAGTTTGACCGAATCCGACACGTAGTCAACGTATGTGGACACGTTTTGAAATTTTTTTTTTGTAAAAAAGAAATAAAATTACAACAAGGGTTTAAAGAAGAAACTTCAGATCTTCAATATTCCCCAATGGATTTGATTTCTGAATCAGCAAACAACAGTAACAGCTACGATTATGAGATCCTTGTTGTATCATCTCAACCACCAATCTCACCACAGCCTCATCTTCATCTTCATCTTCAGCGAACAACAACACACCAAGCCATTACGAGAACCAAAAGAGGCGAGATTGGAACACTTTCTGCCAGTATCTGAGGAACCATATACCACCACTTTCTATGGCCTTATGCAGTGGTGCTCATGTGCTTGAATTTCTTTTTCTGCCTCAAACTTCAATAGACTCACTCTGGTAAATTTCTTTCTCTTTGTAATCTGTTTTACCCGTTGAGTTTAAAATCTAAATGAAGTTGGAATTTTTTCTTATTGAAAAGCGATGGTACCTAAGAACAAGGGACATGCGTCTACGACCCATTGGAACTCTGCACACCAATTTTAGGATTTCCACTGCACTAGGTCGACGTGGCAAATCAGGATTTGTCAACTCTGATTTCCTTATCTAATCCTCCTTAGCAATTGGGGGGTAATAATGTAATATTATATTCAAAAATGAGTTTCTATTTGAAATAAAACAACATTATATTTATTTTAAATTTTACTTAATTGCAGTTACGATATATTTTAAAATAAATAACAACGAGTACATACTTATTTTATCATTTTTTAAAAAATATTTTTTTTTTCTGAAAAATAAAGCATTAAATGTAAATTATATTATATATATTAAAAATTATTTAATATCAAAACGTGTCCCAACGTGTCAAAATTTAGCATTTTTTAGAATTAACGTGTCGGAGTGTCGTGTCGTGTCCTATCTCGTGTCCCGTGTCCGTGTCCGTGCATCATAGATCCTTATACAACAAATGGGATAGCAAAAGAGTTGCTGACTATCTTAACATTTGGGTTAGACCACACAACAATGACCTCTTACATTTGTAGTCCACTAGCTAGACCATGTAAGTGTACTGCTAGCACCATGGATGGTGGCTGTCTTGAAGCACATCAGTGGGGGACAAATATGCCCCACAGACTAATGATTAGTCCCACACCATAATGGCCATTATTTGTTTCCGAACCACTACACCAATATATAACACTTCCATTTGTTATATATCCTTGACCACAGGCACAAACACATGGGTTTGCCAATATAAATATTTCACCTTCTTCCAAATAAGTATTAAAGCTGTATAAATGGTCTTCCACAGGTACGTCATTCCAAACACATACCTTTCTCTGTTTTATATGTATAAAATGTAACTCAATGCCTTATTAGTTCCAATTGGATATACTATTTATTATTTTTTGGTCTCACGAAGGAGTGCCTTCACAAATCTCTAACCAAGACAACCAACAGACCAGAGGGTTCTTGTACATTTACAAAGGTGGCACAGGAAACCATAGAAAGAAAGAGTTACACCTTACGGTGGACGTGGTAAAAGAAATCCATTTCACGCTTAATGGTTGCACTGGATATCGACAACTATAACTTCAAATGTTGAAAACAATGGCAACACACACATAGACATTGGAACAGTAGCAACCCATTGACAACAACACAGGAGTATCACAAAACTTACATTTCTAAAAAAATAATATTTCCATCCACAACCCAAATATGGACAAAAAAACATATTTAATTATCAGATGATAAAATCATTGTACCAAAATTGGAAGTGTCATTCTTTTACCTCAGTTATCTCACTTGCGAGTCCTTTGTGGAGAAAGCAAACAAATACCTCAGCACCTTCCACCGCTCCTACTTCGGAACATGAAAGAAGGGATCAGTGAGCAAACCAATAAAACAAGTCAGTCAAAAATGACAACCTATGGGTTTCCAATATTTCAGAACCACTAAACCCACCTTCAACAAAATGCAAAATGCACATGCAAAAGCAAATCTCATAAAAAGGCCAACACAAATACCGACATCCTCATTCACATGCAAAGTAGAAGCTTCTTCCTCCTCAACTAGGACAACAGAAAATTGAGGGAGAAATTGCACAACCACAAACTGCCTTTCTCCTTTTTTCGCGGAACGTACACTCCACCTTATAGCATGTCAATCCCCTATCTTCTCAGGTCGTACAAAAGTGGGGTTATTTTGGTCTTCTTTTTCGCATTCACTTCCCCGGACAACAGTGAATTCCATATTTTCGATAGACAACTTCTCTCATCAGCCGTACATTATATCACACATAAAAGCAAAATACGGGACAACGATTTATCTGGAAAACTTCCGCTTTATCTGCAACCAAACATAGCAAACCCAAGTTGCCGATCTCCCTATCCCATGTAAACAAAAATTATCCGACTTGTTACTTAAAGTGATCAAATGTACAGCACTACTGCTAACTCGTCCTTTGTCTTTTTTGTTTTTTTTTTATCGGAAGCAATCTTATTCGAGGAGGGATATTCTTACTACTCAAATTTTCCAGTACCAACTTACTACCCATCTAATCATCATTGGATCAAAGAGAAAGAATGTTAAAAAGTTTTTGAAGAGAGAGAAAATGTTAATCCAATAGTGATTAGATAGGTAGTAAGTTGGTAGTGAAAAATTTGAGTAGTAAGAATATCTCTCCTCATCTTATTCACCGGAATTATGGAACCAGAAATATTTATATAATTATAAAACTAACTTTTTAAAATAAAAAAAGGTTTGCATTCACAGTGACTTCAAATCTTTGAAATTAAACATATACTTTCACGTGAAAAGGTATCTCATAATCCCGTGTGTATCTCTGTTTTCATGATCCCATTTATTTGATATTTTTTTTTTGGGTACAAATTTATTTGATATCTATCAACATACAGATAGACACAATATTTTATTTTTTTGGTAACAATGATAGACACAATATTTCAAAATAACACAACATATTCCGTTTTTTTTTTTTTTTTGTACTGTATTTGATTAGTTTAAGTGGCCTTATTGGACTTTTCATTAGATTCTTCTATTTTTTTAGCATTGGATTGATTTCGATTCTTTGAAGTAGAGAGAAAAAGTTATTTTCAATAATAAAGACCTCTTAGTGAACAAGATACGATAAGAATAGATTAAATAAAGAAGTTAAATAAAAGTAGAAATAAAAAATCTGATCACGATTTATTTACATTATATTATGTGTGTGATGTGCACCAAGTCAACAATTTAATAAGAATATTATCATATCCAGTTTTTAAGATAATTCATAGAGTGTAATGATTTGAGAATATTATTTTGAATATTAAATTAATTACTGTCAAGCTTTTGTATATTTTATTCATAAAAGTTTAAGGCTTTTGAAAAGGTATAAAATGAACAAAACCGTTGAAGTGAAATATACTTTTATTTTATTTTTTTGTTATAAAAACATACTTTTATTTTATTTGTTTATAACTTTAGAATAAAAAATTGAAACATCAACAATAATAATAAAAAAATAGTCGAGTTTGTTAAAATGAAAATAAACTCAAAATTTGATATAATAAAAACACTTTACTAATTTTTTTTCAAAATTATATTAAAAAATGACATCTTGTGTAATTTTTAAAATAATTTAAGTATTAGATGAAAAGCAGCTTAAAAAGGACAATACAAAACTCTAATGTTTATTAACCATTAACTTAAGTCTATAGTTCAAAAAAAAGGAAAAAAATTTCATCCTCTTCATTTTTCAAGCTCTACAAAACGCGTATCAAACATTATAGTTCCACTTGCAATTCTAACTCAACAACTGAAAACAAAAGAATAAAGAATTAACCTCTATTTTCTTTCTTGTTTGAATTTACCTGTTTACCAGTCAATACATGAGATGGTGGACCCAACATATGTATCTAAATCCAATTTAATCTAAGATCTAACATAAATAACTGCCAAGTAATAATCATTTGTAAAATCAACATGTTGTGGAAGCAAAGAACATTTTTGAATATGCTAAAGTTACAGAAGCTGCCAAAGAGGTCAATCACCCTCTGATAACCTTTTTTTAGACTCTTCTGTGCAAAAGAACTTTTCAAGAAGAAGGGGGCAGGCGGGCTCCATGTACAAAAAAAAAGAAAAAGGTCGCCAAAAAGGAATGAATTTATGAGAGCAGCATACCAAATTCTTAAAGCATGTCTGCAACTGCAGTTATCATAGGTTTTAGTCTGTTCTTGGCCTATTTGGACCATTTTTATTGCTGCTGTATAAAGGTAATAGCCACCGGGATCCATGTTTCCTTTTCCCATAACACCGCCAATAAAGTATGAAAAATGACAGTATTATACCAAGGGGAATAGCCCATCTGTTTCAATCAACAAAATAACCATATATCAATATCTCAATATTCCATAAAATCTCACTATTCTCATAATGAGTAAGTTAGTGACTTGTAGGGCTGTGCAAAATAATCGAACTGAATTATATTTTTCTGAACCAGTTTTGAGAAGCGAACCAGTTGAACCAAAAAAACTAGTTAAGAAAACTGATTCGAAACTAGTTTGTATATCCGAATTGGTTCTGAACCAATGCCCACAAGTCAACCGGTTCAGTTGGATTCGGTTGACTTGTTGGCATTGTTTAGAGAAAATAAAGCAACAGGTCATATTCAGAAATTTTGAATGAGAAGGAACAAACAGAAAAAATATAAATCTAAATTGAAAACAAAAAATGAACTGCAGGTCTGAATCTTGATAGAAAGAAAGGAAAATGAAGAACATTAGCAAGTTTCTAATTATGCAATTAATGCTTTCAATAAGTTATTATGTGTATTAGATGAAGCAAAGGGCAGAAATGCATCCCCAGCCGCAAAAAGTCATAAAACCACACAATTACACTTATCTAGCTTATATCAAAATGGATATTAAAAGCAACTAAAGAAAAGGTTTTAACTTATATCAGATACTTGAATTTGGTTGGAAGTATGAAAGAAAAATGGTCAAATTACCTGTCAAGATCCAGGATTGGGCTGTGTAAAGAACCTTGGCCAATTCAACCCAAAAGCTTAAGCTATTGGGTGAGGCTACATTAAAGATTTTATATATCTCAACACACTCCCTCACACGAGAGCCCACTGGACTTAAAGGGTGGACGATGCACAGGCCCACCTACCTATGCGAAGAAAGAAATTCCACTAGAAAGAAAGTGGGGGGCGGTGAGGATCGAACCCGGTACACCGAGGCTCTGATACCATGTAAAGAACCTTGGGATACACTACCCCAAAAGCTAGCTCAAAGGGTAAGAGTACCCAAAGCCTTATAAACTCCACATTAGTTGCTTATACAACCAATGTGGGACTATATATCTCAACAGGCTGTAAACAAGAGTTTCCCAAGTTGCAACTATAAAATGCCAAACTGGGTTATAGTAAAGTGACTCTGCTGACCAAAACATCCTTGTGTAGGTCTCCAGAAATATAAAAAGTAGCCATGCTCCAATTTCAAGCAAAAAGAACTTTATAATAAAGTGGCCAATCATTACCATGACCAGGGAGAAGGCCACCAACCAATTGAAAGTGAGCTTCAAGCCTGCATAAAAATCCATGGATGTAAGAAACATCACAGATGATATAAAGGGCAAGGAAAGGAAAAGAGTAAATGGGAGGTTGAGGCAGCATGCCTTGTAGAACATTTGTAATAAATGGTTTCTGGAGAATTATAAGTGCGTGCATTCGCAAACATTCTTCTGACATCCGCAAGAAACATCTCAAATGTGACATAATATTGCTCTGACTCCACCCTCTTAGTCATTGTCTTCAAATCTGCGCTCACATTAATTTTAATGGGTGTTATGTATTAAACTTCTAGGTTGGTACGTGAACTTAAGCTATCAGTAACAAAAATGAATGTGTGTGTGCGAAACTAGGATTGTGACCATACTATATAAGAAGCAAGTGCAAAAGATACAAGAAGCTCAAAAATGAGACGTCAAAAATAAATACCAGGGGAGGAAATCATAGGAAAGAATGCAAATTAATAAAGGGTCCTTTTTTTGCTGATGCAGTGGCAGAAAAGGATTCTCTGCCTCAGTGAAAAAAAAGGACCCGCTAGTTTTTTTTTTTAAATAAAATTTAGCAGGATCCGACATTGTGTTCTGATAAAAAAAAAAGATTTATGTCTGTGGCAAACAACTATTTCTGCAGCAACGGCAGAAATAGTTTTGCCATTAAAAAAAGCAACATTAAACTAAAGCTGTTACCGTGCTTATAGAAACAGGTAAATTTAACATGAAATATACGGATACTTCTTACCCACTGGATCTTTGATGATGTCATAATAATCAGGAACATCCCGTGCATCAACTGGTTCCTTGAACGGCCAAGCATCAGCATGATCGTGCATTGACTGCTTAAAAGATAAATCCGGTTTCAAGAATTAATTTGCTATGAATAAGGATCTACTTATTATTGCTCTTGTGGAATTTGCAGCGTTTTCAATTATGATACTGAAAATTAAATGAATAAAATCAGTGAAGAACATATCAGCAACTTGCCTTTAGAAGGGAACGCATAAACGCGGTCAAACTGTCAGTGGAACCACTTACAGTTCTGAATCGTGAATGACCCCACTGATCAGGAGTCCATCCAGCCTCTCCTGTTATTGCATTCAACCATTCATATAAACATTAACCAGGAAATTCACAAAATTACAAGACAAAATATGCAAAAAATAAATCACCTCACTCATAAGGACATTATGGGTCAACTTTTGGACAACATCCCAGTTAATAAACAAATCTATTATGCTACGTGTTGAGATATATAAAATCATTAATGTAGCCTCACCCAGTAGCTTAAGCTTTTGGGTTCAATTGGTTCTTTACATGGTATCAGAGCCTCGCCGCCCCCCACTTTCTCTTGTGGACTTTCTTAGCACAGGTAGGCTGGGCCTGTTGCATCTTCCACTCTTCAAGCCCAATGGGCTCTCGTGTGAGGGGGCGTGCTGAGATATATAGTCCCACATTGGTTGTATAAGCAACTAATGTGGAGTTTATAAGGCTTTGGGCACTCTCACCCTTTGAGCTAGCTTTTGGGGTGGTGTATCCCAAGGTTCTTTACACTATGTTTGGATGGGAGGGAAGGAGGGAGCAGGGAGAGGAACAGTGACCTAATCCTTGTTTGGAAGACTTTTAAGGAGGAAGATGGAGCGGAAGGGGATGCATTCTCCCCATCCTTACCCCTCGAATTTGTGGGATTTGTGGGCTAGCATGGAGGCATGGTTTATTTTAAATTAAATAACAGGAAATAACCTTCCTCTAATTTCAGCTCCCCAAAACAAAGAGAGTTCCCCCTCCTTTACTTAAGATCAAAACAAGAAAAAGTAACTCTCCCTCCCTCCCTTCCCTTTGCTCAAGAACTTCTAAACATAGCATTAGTTTGTTATATCATAAATCACAGGAGAACAGATCTAGAAATGCAAAAACAATTACTATAACAATTAACAACACTGAAACTATGAGCAACATATGAGACCAATAAAAAGTTAAATAGTGAGATGCCCTCAGCATTAAGCAGCAAAAAGGTTAGATGCCATGCACAAGGTCTTGAATGGGAGGTGGACATCTCATCATACAAGGAAAAGTTAACAAACCTAAAAAAGATAAAAAATAATTGACACAAGGCACGCTATGTAAAAACTAAAATATATTGGTAAGTTGTTAAACTGAGATCGGAAATTAAGTACTTACTCAAACCAGGGATGTCCTCAATAATTTTTTTGGGAATACCAGCTTCTTTCTGCATATTGTGTTGATCAGGAGGGGAAAAAGTTAATATTCCATACGCTCTCTAATCTTACTGATACATGAAAAAGAAGCAAAATGCAACTTTGGCTAAAATAATAGATGATCCTCTCCCCTACGCCCAAGCCCTACACATTGTCAAGAAAGTTGGCATACATGCATTGCACATGGTATAAGTGCAGTGCAAATATGCCAAATGCAATCTGCATTGAGCAGATAATACAATCGTAATTCAACAAAAATCACTTAATATAGGAAAAACTTCAAATGCTATACATGAATGATCGAAACATACAAAATGAAGAATGCCTTATACCTTCTGAAAATCAATTCCAGTATAAACAATGTGACAGTTTGACAGCTCTCTGATCTTTTCATCAATTGCCTACCATTATAACCAACAATAATTAAAATATGTTAAAAATTATGAAAATTAAAAATAAATAAGGCGGTCAGAAGCAACACATCAGACAGAAATAAAATAATGCATGCAAATATATATAAATGGCTGAAAATACAATCCAAAAATCTGTTCCCTTTTTTATTTTTATTGATTGGCTGTGTTGAGCTTTAGAATTAGCCTAGTCGGGACAAGGTAAAACCTAGTTATCATCATGTCTTAATTTTCACAAAAAGTCCAGCCTAACATGTCGACAAATTTCCAGATGATGGTTTTCACCTGATTTTCTCTCCAAAATTTAGATATGAGATGTAAAGTTCTGCCTGCCACTTGTTTTTGCGGGAGAAAAACCCTCTATATTGACTAACAGAGAATTACAAAGAGCATTTCCAAAAGAAATTAGAATTTAGCAATTATAAACTAAACTAAACTAAATAATGAAATTCCAATTCTACATATTAGAGATTCACTTACTGTTTAGTTTTTACCATTACTAGTTTATTGTTGCTGCTGTATTTTTACTGTGACTTAGTGTAATAATATGTTCTTGACTGTAGTAGGTTATCTACCCCTAGTTAGTTCAGACCTATGGTTAGATTGTAACCAAATTCTGTTGTATAGTTAAGTTTAGTTTAATTGCTGAGTCATACTTCCACTACTCTACATAAAGTGTATGTGGCTTTACATCAGTGTAACATCAATTCATTTTACATACAAAGATATTTTCTGATCTTCTCTCTCTCTCTTCTTCCTTCACCATTCAAGGCTTCTTCACAGAAACATTTAGGGCATCAGAGCCCTCGTTCTGATGGCCTGAACCATATCACCACCATAATATCTTTCGCATCAAAGTCTAGCAACAGTAGTAAGCTCTATTAAACCCTAGATCTGTTAAAGAAACTTCAATGGAACCAAAACCTTCATAAACCCGCATCTATACACATCCATCGTTGGTATTTTGCAAATTGCAATATGCAACCATCATCAGGCCTGAAATCAGATATGCTGTAAATAAGGTCTGCCAGTTCATGTGTCAGCCATTGGAAGACTGTGAAGAGAATCCTGCACTATCTCAAAGGCATCAGCTCTTTTGGCCTAATGTTGCAATTTGCTAGCTCCTAGCAGCCTTTCTCCCTGACTGCCTTCAGTGATGCGAACTGGGAAGTGATCCAGATGATAGGAGGTCTACTTTTGTAGCTTGCATCTTCATTGGTTGTCAAATCCACTGCTGAAGCTGAATACCGTAGTGTGGCCCTTACCTGATCAGAACTTTTATGGATTAAGTCCCTTCGTCGTGAATTACAGCTTCATGTTTCCACTCTGCAAGTCTTTTATTACAATTTGAGTGCAATTGCTTTGTCTCACAACCCTGTTTTACATGTTCGCACGAAGCATATGGAGCTTGATCTCCATTTTGTCCGTGTAACATGTTATTGCCAAAGACATTATTGTTTCTCATGTCCCTCCTTTGGACCAGGTGGCTGACACACTTACAAAAGCTCTCTCCCCAGTCCGATTTCTGAATTACATCACAAACTTCAAGTCTTGGACTCTGCTTTATCGCCCCAATCCCCTTAGTTTGAGGGGGAGTATTAGAGATTCACATACTTTTTAGGTTTTATGATTATTAGCTTATTGTTACTGCTGTATTTTTACTGCGACTTAGCGTAATACTAAGTTCCTGACTGTAGTACAGTATCTACCCCTAGTTAGTTCAGATCTATGGTTAGATTTTAACCAAATTCTGTTGTATAGTTAGGTTTAGTTAGTTTGATTGTTGAGCATACTTCAACTACTCTAGATAAAGAGTACATGACTTTACATCGGTGTAACATCAATTCATTTTACATATAGAGATATTTTCTGATCTTCTTTCTCTCTGTCTCTTTCTCCTCTCTTCTTCTTCCTTCACCATTCATGGCTTCTTCACAGAAATCGTTTACTACAAAATCATGATTGCACTCCAGGTTACATTATTGCCTTTCAAGGGTGACAAATGAACTCCTAGTTCTAGAGTGACTAAATTGTTGAATCACGTATCGTGAATCGTATCGAATCATAAGATTCAAACACATAATGAAAAATCACTTAAATTTAAATAGCAAAATACATAAGTAACCAAATTTAAAACCAGTTATTTACTCATCAATCATCAAGACTAATGTTATCACTATCACTATCAGCAACTAGCACTAGTATAACTAATTCATCATCCTCTTCATTATCACTATCAAATTGGGATATTTTTAATTTGGATTTGGTTTGGGCATTGGGATTTTTGGAAATCCTTTAATAAGTGATTGACTTTCCAGATTCTCCATATTTTGAATCTCGCATTTCTTGGTCGTTTCCCTTTCCAAAATCAGACTGGATTTTGAACCCCTAATATTGATATGATTCGCAATACAAAACGTAATCATGCGATTCCGCAATTCAAGGAGCGATTCATGATCTACTCCGATTCACATTTGATCCGTATCGTTTTTGTTCTGTATCGAATCATATTGTGCGATACTAATGACAATGATTTCATCTGTCTTATGGGAGTGAATGAGTGGACACCTTGTCAGGCCCCATTTTATCATGGTTCCAGATGCAAAGTTTTTGACAACCCCCTTGCACACCTTTTGCAGTGAGCATGCATATGTGATTGAGAGGACAAGCTTATAACAAATGGGAAAAAATAAGGTCTGTTTTTGAAAAGAAAAACCCAATTTAAGTGAAACAGGTTAACTGAAAGAAATATCTTAAAACTTTAATAAGAAAGTTCATTAGTGTATCTTATCATAATCTAAGATAATCTCAAATAATGTAAAGTAAAACTAAAATATTAACAAGTAGAAATCATCTTACCTGCCTTTGACGACGGAACATAGGTGACAATTCAGTGTAAGGGAGCTTTGGATCAATCTTGCATTCCATGAGAATCCCCCCATCATAATCCTTTATATAACTGAAATGACAATTAATTGTAATGAATTCTCATAGACAATAAACAAAATAACAAAAATACAACTATGTAAATAAATAGTGAATGATGAAATTTTTATTCTATGGGATAAAAAATCAGAATTAAAATAAAAATCCCTGTAATTGGTATTTTGCAGCTCTACACTCCTAACAATCAAATATAAATTTAACAAAATCAAAGTATAAAAAATTTCATCTTTCTTAATAGACACTACATCTAAAAAAGAATCTTAAAATGAAGGACCTAGTGAGAAGTGCTGCTAATAGATTTAAGACAAGGAGATTGAGTATAAGTACCGCACCCTTGCCATCGATCTTTCTCCAAGTGAATCTCTTTTGTAAATCCCTGTAAAACACACTCAAACATCATTGCAATATCTAAAACAGTATCCAGTCCATTCAACAGAATGGCATTTTTACAGCAACAACCCCCCCCCCCCCCCCCAAAAAAAAAAAATACACAACAGAAAAGATTCCTATATCACTGCTACTCTACATTGGGACTATTCTATGCCAATCAGATTCCTGACAAACTTAAACAGGAAATAGACAAATCTTTGTAAAAGTTTTTCGGCAGGAAAACTAAAATTGACAGCCTCCTCCTATCAGCAAAAACATAGGTTCTCAGCAGATGACTTAACAACTATTATCTAGATTTGGGAGTGTGCCTACCAAAAAATATACGTTGGCCTTCATACTATGTAATGCTAGTTGGTAAAATTCAGATGTTCTTCTTTCATCTTTAACCAACCAAGCCAACAAGGACCACGTAGAAAACCTTCCTTGTCAGACAGAAAATGAGTTTTTTAACCCAAATTAGGCATTTTCTCTTATGTATTTTTCTCATTTATTTATTTTTATGTTCACTTTATTTTTATTGTATTTTTAATTTTTTTTCTATTTTTTTATTTTTTATTTTTATTCTTTCTTTTCAATCTTTTCTTACTTTTCATTTGGGTTCATTGGCCACCAACCCTAACTAATTTCAGATAAAGATATTGTTGATGATAAATCACATGGCTGCACCTTCCCTACTGGCACAATCCAAGAAGGATGAGCCAATGCAAGGGTGGCACAATCCATATTGCACCTACACGTTAGAAATACGGTTTTTTCCTGCCATGGAACTTGGGCAATCCATGTTATTCAAAATTGTTTAAAAAATGTATTATTTTTGTAATAAGTTCTTTGAATACATTTTGGTGACTTAACAACTATTATCTAGATTTGGGAGTGTGCCCCACTACCAACAAATGATAGAAAAATCCAAAAACTTGTTGAAAGCAACATATCTTTGTCACTACTGACCTTAGGTTTATCACACGAAAAAGAAATAAATGCCCAGATAATAAGGATCTTAAAAATCAATAACCAGACCTGTTTGATAAAATAGCCAACAGCATGATTGTCAGCATATGTGAGAAAATGTGTCAACCCATCTTTATCACGTGCATGCTGTTTTAAGTGATTCATCAATCTGGTACCATAACCTTTTACTTGCTCATCAGCTGTAATTGCACAAAAGGCTATCTCACCAAACTTCTGGCTATAAATCATAGAGCACATCAGTATCAGTAAATAAAACCATAGAACAGCCATGCAAGTTTAGTTTTTTTTTTTCCTTTTGAGGGAGGGAGGGAAATGATATCACTAAGTGGGCAAAAAAAAATAATAATGGGGCAAAACAAGGAAATACAATATCTATTTACAACTTAGGTCTTTTCTACAAAAATATACGTCCAACTTAATCCCAGATTATTCACTTAAATGGACCTTGAGGAGCATTTTCATCACTGCAACCAAAGTGCAAATTTGCATAGGACAATATAACAATAATAAAAACAGAGAGACAACAGTTCACCATTTTATAAGCTAATCTTTGATAACAAGTAATAACTATGTAAACCTTAAGTCTTCAGATATTAATACAGGAAAAATATCAAAGTAATGAAGCTAAAATAGAAAATTTCAGAGACAAAACATAATCAGAGACTGCTAGGATCTGAAGAAAAAGTAGATATGGAGACAAATTATTACCTTGCATATGGGCGATATGTAATGCCTCCAACAACATGATTACGCCTTATGACCATTACAGACTTATGACTCCTGCAAATTTAACATCAAGAGAATTTAAAATTATAAAGACAGTAAGATAAAACTCAAGGATGACAGGGAAAAACTTACTTATAAGAGCTTGTTTAGAATAAAGAAATCTATATTACAGTTTCAAACTCTTATTTAATGAATTAACTAGTTCACAAATCACTATGAACTGACCATGCTGGCAGACTAGAATTTGTATAAAAAAAATCTCAATATATCAAACAAGAGATACCTCCTAATGTAATATCAAACTTTAATCTTAAATAAAAGAACAAGAGATGATAGTCTAATGCCCTTCATTCTTATTCTCTGTTTCAAATTTGGTTGGTCACAAAGGAGGAAAGAACAGGTCATATATGGCAGTAAAATGATTTGGGAAACCATAAAAGCAAGGGGCCACCCCACCCCACCCCACACTTCATAGTTAACTTGAAACGTGTCTGTTCATATTTCTACATCTAAATTTTAGGATCTTAGTTGCAATGGAGAAAGAAAAAAGGGGGGAGGGGTCGGGGAATTATAATCAAATAAGTTTTCCAGTTGTTACTATATCCAAATGTAAAAACTTTCCATTCCAAACTAGAAACGAGTTAATCAAATCTATATTTAATGAACAAAAATTGTAAGACATGCTTGTTTGGGATTCTGTTGGGCAATCCAAAATAATTCTCCTACATAACCTTGGAGTTATTTTTGCTTTTGGATGGAGAATTAATTCTCACCAGATCCAAAACATACACAGATTTATTTCAGCACCATATGAGTAAGAAATTACGCTGGGTACGTAAAATATTGTTGGCATTACCTATCCATAACAAGTTGGACAATGTACTCCTTGGGCATATTTGGAAGTTGCTTACCAAATATATTCTTCAATCCTATCAACCTAAGGAACAACAAAGTCAACAATGCAACTCGTTATCAGTAATGATCATTTTGCTAATTATAAAAATACTGAGTTTTTTACAAAAATAAAATACTGATTTTTTGAACACAAAAAAATTGCCAACTGAATTTCATCCAGCCAGTTCCTGTGGGTAATGCATAACTTATATGGAGGGACAGATGCAAAGGGGAGGGGGGCGAGCAGGTGCCTTGACCTAATAGTTTTTCATGTTAAATGTATATACTCTTGCACCAATTTGTAATTGGCCTCCTACTCTATTTTGAAATTTTTAAGTAGTCATTAGGTTAATCTGAATGTATGCTATAGATTATTTGGTCTACTAGCTCAACAAACAAATAAATAAACAATTTTTTGTTGAAAGAGACACACACAGATTAAGTGCATTATGTTCAACGTTGATAGATGTGGATAAATTTATTTTTTAAACTACCAAACTTTTATTTTAATATCATAACTTTTAAACAATTATTTTGATATTCAAAATATATATTGGCATCACATTGGTCCTCTATTTATTAGCAACGAAATGGCCCCTCAATGTCAATGAAGACCATCAAAGTGGTCCTTCAAGTTCCACTAAATTGATCTTTCAATGGACTAGAATAATTATATTAGTTGCCATTTGGGAACCAATTTGATATCTCCTATAAAAGGTGGACAAATTTAATATCAATTACATCTTTAAAATACAAAAATATATTTTTACTCTAACTTTAATAATTAGCCCCCTCACTAGTTAATTTTTGGATCCCCCTGCTTAAATGAAGTATAAATACTTTATTTGCGGAAATGCTAACAAGGAGATGAGTAATGCAGGCAGGGCCACGTAAATGTCAAAGACGAGAGGAATATATACCAAATCATATGTTCATCAATGCCATCATTCGAACAGCATACGAATTTGAGCCTTCCTGCTTCCTCCTGAAAAATTTTCAGATGACCACATCGTCGTCACAACCATGAACCATGAAGACCAATCACCTCAAAATAGTTCGTAATTATTTATTTATTAAAATTTAAACCAAGAGACGAGAAAAAGGGAAAAGCCAAATGTGAAAACTAGTATGTTACATTGTGAGTTTTAAAACAATTTTCAAACATAATTTACAAATAATTATTCATATATTTTTTTTATGAAATTCATGAATGAGGCTAAAGGGGTTGTTACCTCTTTCCTGAGACTCTCTTCCCTAGCGCTGTAAGCACCACTAGTTTGTAAATTATCAGTGAATATCTTAGTTGCGTCCTCCTTAACCACGATGCCGGGGACGGAGCTGCCGGTGGCGGCGGCGCCGACGGCACCAGCCCCGGCGGGTGCGGCGTCTTTGGCGCCATCGGAATTCTCGATCTTAACGTTGGAATTATCGGTCTTGAGCTTGGTGTTGCGTGGCGCGGAGGGAGGGTTGCTGAGCCTTGCAGCGGTGAAGGTGCGCATGGAGGAATCGTTGTCGTTGTCGTTGTCGTAGTCGTCCTCGGAGTCGGAGTCGGCGCCGCGGGCGGAGACGCTCTCGAGGTCGTCATTGGAGGTGAGGGCGCCGTCGCGCGTGTCGGCGGAGAAGGAAGAAGGGGGAAAGGGAGGCGCGTGGTCATCAGACGCGAGCTTGCGCTTGCGGATGGAAGAGGTGGCGGAGGCGGAAGCGGAGTGGGAAGGTGAAGGGGACTGAGAGCTGCGGGAACGGAGGGTTCCTCCGCCGTGCGTCTCCATTTAATTACAGTTAGGGCGTGTTTCGTATCAGACTTTATTTAGTTTCCTTGGAAAGCATTCTAGGGAGTAGTACGGGTGAAACTGGGCCGGGCCGGCCTATAGGGGCCTACAGTTCGATCTACGTCAGGTCAGACATGACCTAGTATATTTCGTAAAATAAGTCGGGTTTGAGCTTTGAAAAAGCTTGTTTAATAAAAAGTCGTAGGCTCACTTTCACAAGGTTTGGCCTATAAGCCTACAGGTCAGCCTATATTGTATTATTTATTTTAAATAAAATAAAATATAATAAGTATAACTTGAAGAAAAAACAAAAGATATAAATTTAATCAATTACAATTATTTATAACTTAATTATATTCGATTATATTTTAACAAAAATCGGACTTTATTTCTTATGTAGGATGAACCAACATCTCAGTATGTTAGATTATTTATATGAATATATTAAAAGATTTTTGGGAGATGTTATACTTATTACAAGCATCATGATGTTTTGTTGGATTCATGTAGTTATTTTAATATACATAGTATGAATTTGTTAGTTGGATTTAATGAAATATATGTTATTTAGTTTGAGCATTTTGCTTTTGAAATTGACTTAAATGCAGATTGTATGATATTTGTTGTGATTTATGATTCTGTTTGGACGTTGAAATTATGATTTTTGGTTTAGAAACAGAATTTGAGTATTTTATAAAGTTGATTCATGGTTCTGCTTGAAAGTTAAAAATTAACAGGCTAACGGGCTAGGCAAACCATTTGTTTTTTTATAAACGGGTCAAGTCAGGCTAACAGTTAGACTCGTACTAGGCTTGAGCCAGGCCAAATTGAATTTTTTTTTACGTAGGCTTGAGCTTTTCGGGGCAAAGCTTGGCCCAGCCCATTTTCACCCTTAATAGGGAGAATAACAATACCATGCTTGGTATAAAAAACATCAAACTTTTCCAGATAATTTTTTTTCCAGAAAATAGTTTGTGTGTACTTTTATGTATTGTTGGTATCATTGGAATGCTATAGATTAGATAGAATTTTTTGTTGCGAGTCAAAGTTAAAAGTAACCCACCAATGAATAGACCATTTCATTTGTATGATTATTACCCTTTGGTTTATACAATTTCTAAACAAATAGTGTCAAGTGGGGTTATTTTGGTAAATAATCTCATAATCCAACTAATATTCCATAACTAACCAAACACAAACTCAGTAAAATTAATTTCATTTTTTCGGAAAAATAGGAGTCTACAAAACAGCTTTTTAGTAACATTCCAGTAAAATTTATTCCCTGCTACATTCCAGTAATAATTATTTCTCAGACAAACAAAAATTTATCCTCTACCAAACGCCCTTAGGGGCCGTTTGGTACGCAGATTATTTTTTGGTTACTGGGGAACTAATTTCGTCGGAATGTGGTTGGAAATAATTTATTCTGGAAAATTTATAAAAATGTGTTTGGTTGACCAAAATTTTACTCGGAATATTTTGATAAGTTTACTGAGTTGATGTTTGGTTGATTGTGTAATAGTAGTAGGAAAGGGGGGTTATTTTACAAAAATAACCCCACCTTTACTTTTTCGTTCAAATTTAATATTACACAATATTCACCTCAGATAACATGGGAAGTGGGTGGTCTGTAATTCATTGATACTTGAGAGTGCTTCAAATCAACGGTTTCTTCCTCACGCATGAGCTCTCTCATCAGCATCTGAATGACTGGTAATGCATATGGGAGACGTTGTGAAGACATTGTTGTGGGCTTCGTTGACGGAGACAGAGATCTGCACACAAAGACTCCGAAGTTTGTCCTTATGTTCGAGTTGAGTTTAGAAGTTGTCCGGTGTTGGAGACAAGCTTGTATATCTGTCGGTAAGGACGAAAAACCTTGTTGTCCACTCTATTTTTTTATTTTTATTTTTTTGCTTCCAATTTGCATGTTCGAGGTTTGTGAGGAGATATAGCAACATCTTGGGTACATACTTTCAAGTGAAACTCATGAAAATAGATAACCTCTAGTTATGCATGTTTGGTTGTTGAAACTTTAAATCGTGGAAGGTACTGGAAAAAAATTATAAATTTGGTACTCTTTATCCGTGGTTTTTAAAAAATTGAATGAACAATACATGGTAGGGGTGAGGGAAAAATGTCCTACGACTTCCTCATTGTGTAGGACAAGATTGCGAATGTATATGGTTTTTTTTTTAAGAAGTAGTTGTATGTGGACTTACATATTTTTGTGTTATTGTTGTTGTAGGGAAACATTAATTGTTTAGGGTGTGATAGCCTCTTTTGTTGAAGGACAGATGGGTGGAGATGAGGTTGGTAAGTGGGGGCATGAAAGTGTTTATTCTGGCCCTTCGTCATCTTCATCGTCATCGAGGGTGACAAAGTGTGGGTGTGGTAAGAGGGCTGTTTTGCATAGGTCTCAGACACCAAGAAATCCAGGTAGGAAGTTCCTTGGGTGCCCAAACTTCTCAACAAATGAGAAGTGCAACTTCTTTGAGTGGGTTGATGAACCGACGTGCGTCAATTGCATTAAGAAGGACACGTTGTTAAAGCTTTTGGATGTGTTGTTAATTACTCAAAGTTTAGTACTAGGGTTTGTATTATATAAGAAGTAGATATGTGTGTAAGTTATAATTATGTATTGCAATTGTAATCATATGGTATGCTGCTTTTTGTGAACTTATGAAATGACATTATGGTATGTATAGGCTTGTCATTACTTTGAACCTTTGTAACTGACATACCCTAGTTTACATTTTGAAGTATGAATGTGGAGTGGATAATTACCACATATTATCGGACTGTATCTTATTCCCCTGCCTATATTGTCCACAAGGATGATTATGAAGAAGAATGAATGTGCAGTATATACCAGTCGTTTGATATTGAAATTTTTGGTTTAATCTTTCAACTTGTTTGACCTTGTGCCTTAATTCTTTGTCTTGGACCTTCTCATCAAGTGCAGGCTCCAAATTCAGAGTTATCATGAAGAATAATCATGATGTGGGGCCATGGGTCCTCTTTCACGTAGCATGAAGAAGAATAATGGTATGGGTAATCTGTGACTGTGTGTGTTATCATACTGTTGTTGTGCCAATATTTTTTGTCTTACTTTGTATTTTAAAACTTGTATTACTGGTGATCCATTTCTGGATTGAAAATTTTATTTTTCTGATGCCACCATTTTGTGACACATGTTTCTTCATATTTGGAGGGATTGGCACCAATCTCTGTCATATGATGCAGATTTAGATATGTGAAGGAACTTTTGGGAAGTGGAACCATAACAGCTTAGCATGACATGCAGTCTTGGATGAAGGCAAACACTGAATCGAGAAACTCAGCAGCAGCATCCATGACAGCAATGTGAAGGAGGTCGAAACACAGAGATTCAGCTTTTGTGAGGTGTTGTGGGAGCACCTTTAAATGAGTCTCACCTATCACCTCTGACAACCAATGCATCACTTGTAGCATTGAAGACCAACACATTGTTAGTAAAAGAGATATCCAAAAAGGCCTTTTTCTTTTCTTTTCTTGCACTGTTTTTTGAATAGAAGTTGATCATAACAATGAAAAAGCAAAGAAGACCGTATGATTCTCTTCTGTTTGTTAATTGTCTTGTGTGTTGTACATGCTTAAGTAGGAGGTTTCCATGGCGAAATATATATTGAAACAGTATATAGCATGTGATCCAACTAAAATTACAGTGTCCACTGTGGCTACATGATGAGCTACTGGAGCCGTTCCCTCATACATATACAAGAAGGAGGACTGTAATAAACTCAGGCCAACAACAGAAGGAGGCCCAACAGGATGAAGACCAACAAGTTGAGGAGATTTCAACATCAACAACCCAGACAATTAACCAATCAACTCAGGCCCATAATAAAATAGCCAATCTGGGAGTGATGGTGCAAGAAGCCCACAGTGATGGGAGCTGTCAGAATAGAAAAATGGGTCCACAAGATGTAAACAAGCACAAAGTTAGTTATACAACTATGGGACAGCTGGCAGATGCTAAATGGCTCGGTAGAAATTGGGAGAAAGGAGAACGTGAATGAAGTTAGTTATATGGGAGTGGAAAGCATGGAGAGGGTATGAAGAAAGTTAACCATTTTGAAGGAGGGAAATTGGATGTTTTGCATAATGGTATATTGTGTAGAAGAGCTGGGATTGCAGGAGTCTGAGTAGAAATATTGTTCGAGTCTTTCGTTATTTCTTGATTAATAGAGTCTGTATTTGATAAAAAGAGTCATGTCTATAGTTTTTATTTTCTTGTTCAATGTGTCTCTCTCTTACGATGGTGAAGGGTAGTTTTGTTGTTAATCGTTTGTAATAAGGTGTTGATGATTGTAGTTCATTTCCAATATATAAGAGTCACTGAGGTATTTCAGTAAAGATTTGTTGCTTTCCAATTGTAACTATTTCTGCCATTTATGTTAAGTCTGTAGAGATCCATAGCTAGCTTTCCCAGGTACCATCACTACACGACTGCAGAATTTAGTTAAGAAGTCCTTGGAATCAATGATGAAGTTGCTGGAGGACCTGGCTGAGCAAGTCAGATTGCATGCCTGGTTTACTGTACTGCAGCAAGTTCTAATAAACTGTGAACACAAGGAATGACATCAGTAAAATTCTCAGTTATAGATGAACCAGCTAAGCTAAAAGAATGTGAAGGAGCCAATCCATTGCAGCTGTCGAGACATAAAGCATGCTATCCTCATAGCTGGCAGGTGCATTGAAGATTGAGAAAACATCATATGCAGAGTACTAAGGAGTGCATGGCACCATGGGATACCAGGTCTCTTTCAAACATTGCAGTCAGCAGCAGCATCTTGTGTACATTGCTCTCAGCAGCAGCATCTTGTGTACATTGCTCTCAGCAGCAGCCTTTCCACCATGCAACATAATGATTGTGTCTCTGTTTCAGTCTTGTAATCATTTACACTGTTGGAGGCCATGTGTAAATTTGAGAGAACATTGAGAGATAGTATTATTTTATTTCCTATTGTTCTGCT